GGAGGGAAACGAGTGTGAGTATGAAGACATCCAGAGCCAATTAAGTTTTTCCAATATTTAAATCACTCAGGGTGGGTATTGAACCCTCAAGTTAGCCATGGCATCATGACTTTGTAAACAAACAAAAATGACAAGATCATTCCTTTAAAGATGAAATGATCTGAATTTAGTTTTATCCTCATAAAAAAGTAAGAAAACTATTTTCTATTGTGGAAATTAGTCTGAAGTTGCCAGATCAATTAAAATTCAACGAGTACCTCCCCCCTCCAAGATTGTGATCTTTGAGGAAAAAATAAAATAGTTTTTGGTCAGATAGAAAATTTCTTGATTCCTGTAACAAATACATATTGAGAAACAGCTTGCTGAATTCAAGGACATCTACAGGCACGAATCTATATGTTGAACATGATGCTGACATTTAATGTAGCATAAAAGATAGCTACTATAGAAAAGACCACATAAATAAGTATTTAAATACAAGTTCCTGTGAGGCAGTGAGAATATGAAATGTCTCTCTGGTAGCATACTGCAGAAGACAGACTTCTCAGTCCCAGGCATTGATGGCTGTAGAAGATGGAACATGGAGGAATGAAGGAGGGGAAAAAGTAGAGCAGTGTGCACGCCAGCGGAGGAGTGTGCACACCAGCGGAGGAGTGTGCACGCCAGCGGAGGAGTGTGCACACCAGTGGAAGAGGGTACACCCCAGCGGAGGAGTGTGCACGCCACTGGAGGAGAGTGCACCAGCGGAGGAGTGTGCATACCAGCGGAGGAGTGTGCATGCCAGCGGAGGAGTGTGCACACCAGCGGAGGAGTGTGCATGCCAGCGGAGGAGTGTGCACACCAGCGGAGGAGTGTGCACCAGCAGAGGAGTGTGCACACGAGCGGAGGAGTGTGCATGCCAACTGCAAACCACAGCTGGAGGAAGGGAAGGTGCCAACAAGGTCAAGCAATGGTTAACAAGTCAGAATGAGAAGGTTTGCCTTAACTAGCCTATGTTTATGCTCTCTCTCTCTCTCTCTCTCTCTCTCTCTCTCTCTCTCTCTCTCTGTGTGTGTGTGTGTGTGTGTGTGTGTGTGTGTGTGTGTGTGTGTGTGT